AATGATAACTGCAAGAAGACACAACTCAAGCTGTGCTGCATTTCATTTAATAGTGGATGAATATGACAAGGAGCTCTGGTGGCTTAGTGGTAAGGAATTGTGCTGCCAGTGTAAAGGTATATGGTTCAAATCCACCAGCTCTTCTGTGGGGAAAGTTGGACAGTCTCGTCCTGTGGGATTTACTGCTTCTGAAAATCTGACAGAGGGTGAGCAGTGGGTAAGTTCTGACTCTATAGTACTCAACAACAACATAAATATGATGGTGTCAAACAAAAGACTATGCAAGAAAAGTTTAGAATAATCATCACTCTACCAGCCCTCTGTTGTTATAAACTTACTGATATTTGCATACAGAATAATGCATAATCTTAAGTATTGCTTGATGAATTTTGACAATTAAATTTATTTATTGTGACTTTTAATGGCTGAAATAATTCATGTACCTATATAATGTGATAGCCAATGAATAAAGAAGGGCAAAGAGGAATTGATGCCTTTGGATATATAAGACCACTGTCGTTGACCTTCTGCAGCAAATGACTTATATCCACTTCAGCTTTAGCAAGTAGAGTTGTGTCATCTGCATAATGCAGATTGTTGATGAATCTTCCTCCAATCCTGATGCCATATTTCTCCTCATCAAGTACAGCTTCCTGAATGATCTGTTCTGCATATAGATTGAAAAGATATGGAGGTAGGACACATTCCTGATGCACACTTTTCCTGATCCTGAAACATGCAGTGTTTCCCTGCTCTGTTCACTGCTCCTTGGTGAGAACATAGTTAGATGCTGTGTGTTAAAGAGTCTACTGTGTGCCAGGGAGCTCTGTGGCCTAGTGATAAGAAGCTGTGCTGCAATCCTAAAGACACATGGTTCAAGTCTACTAGCTGCTCCTCAAGAGAAAGATGTGGTTTAATGCCTCTGAAAACCCATTAGGGTCAGCTATTTGATTCCGATTTGGCGGTACCTTACTGAAAGTTTTATTATTTCTGATTCTTAGACAGTCATGATAGGCATTGATTTTGGTTTTAGAAATAATCAGTCACAGGTATAGTATATAGTGTATGCACGGTCACTCTAGACTCTGACTATCCATAGGCATTCTTTTCCCTCTAGCTAACCTAGCTTGCTCAGCTCCACAGTCAACACTCTTGACACCAGCAGTCAGGAAATCAAAAGAATTGCACTGGGAAAAATCTGCTGTCAAGGATCTGTCCACATTACTGAGAAGCAGTGATGTCAGTCTAGAGACCAAGGTGTGCCTGATTTGAGCCATGGTCTTTGGAGTTACGTGCTATGCATCAGAGAGCTGGACAGTGACTAAGGATGACAAAAGAAGACTTGATGCCTTTGTGTTGTGGTACTGGACAAGAGTCTTGGACATCCATGGACTGCCAAGAAAACAGATAGGCCTGTCTTGGAAAGGGTGAAACTAAGTTTCTCCTTGGAGGCTAGGATTTTGAAGCTCCATCCTACATATTTTGGGCACGTGGCCAAGAGGTACTGTCCTTGGAGAAGAACATCATGCTTGAAAGGGTGGAGGGACAGCAGCACAGGAGAGGACGACCCCGGATGAGATGGATTGATACAATAACTAGGGCAATGGACTTAGGTGTGTTGGAGTCAGTGAGACTGGCTCAGGACAGGGCAGGCTTCTGTTGTACATAGGGTCTCTATGAGTCGTAGGTGACTCGACAGCACGTAACAACAGCAATCTAGTTTTCTCCTGTGATTACTTTTTTTCTTGTATTTTGCTTTTGATATAGATGTATATTTCCTGTGTTTTGTTCTTGTTGTTTTCTTGTTTCTACATAATTTTTTAGAAAAAGGGAAGACAAGTAACATGTAGAACATCTAATAAGGTGTGATTTTGTGCAGTGAAGCAATGTAAGCCATTTTTAAAAATGCAAAGTAGAATCCTCAATTTTAATTCTTGGAGAAGAACATCATGTTTGGAAGGGTGGAGGGACAGCGCAGGCGAGGAAGAGCCAGGATGAGATGGATTGACTCAAGTCACTGGAGAAGTGGGATTGGGTCTTTCGGAGATGATGAGATTGGCTCCAGGTAGGGCAGGGTTCAGAGCTAATGTACTCAGGGTCTCTGTGAGTCACAGGTGATTCAGTAGCACCTAACAACAACAACAACAGCAACAGCAACAACAACCTATTCCATAGGATTTCTGAGGCTGTAAAGAGAGTGAAATAAAAAGAAAAAGAAAAATATACCCCTCTGTGATGTATTAAGACGGAGTATAAAGAAATTTCTCCATTTTGTGTCCTGTCTCCATACCTTTTCAACCTGTATGCAGAACAAATTATCCAGGAGGCTGGGCTGTATGAGGAGAAATGTGGGGTCAAGATTGGTGGAAGATCTATCAACAATCTGCGTTATGCAGATGACACAGCCCTGCTTGCTGAAACTGAGGAGGACCTCATGCACTTGCTGCAGAGGGTCAAGGATTGCAACCTCCAATATGGACTGAGGCTCAATGTCAAGAAGACAAAGATTCTCACCACTGGACCAATTGGCAGCATCAGGATGGATGGTGAAGAGATTGAGATTGTACACAGTTTTAGTTTGCTTGGCTCCACAGTCAACACTCTTGGCACCAGTAGCCAGGAAATTAAAAGACGTATTGTGATGGGAAAGTCTGCTGTTAGGGACCTCTCCAGGGTACTGAAGATCAATGGTGTCTCTCTGAAGACTAAGGCGTGTCTGATACAGGCCATGGTATTTGCCATTACTTGTTATGCATCAGAAAACTAAGGAGGATAGAAGGAGAATTGATGCCTTTGAGCTGTGGTGCTGGGGAAGAGTATTGAGGGTACCATGGACTGCTAGGAAAATAAACAGATTCATCCTGGAAAGGGTCAAACCGGGCAGCCCCTTGGAGGCAAGGATTCTGAGGCTCTGTCTAACATACTTTGGACATGTTGTAAGGAGGGACCGGTCCTTGGAGAAGGACATCATGCTTGGGAGGGTGGGGGGACAGCGCAGGAGAGGAAGGCTCTCTATGAGGTGGATTGATTCAGTGACTGGGGTAATTGGGATGGGTGTGTCAGATACAGTGCGATTGGCACAGGACAGAGCAGAGTTTAGGGCTGTTGTACATAGGGTTGCTATGAGTCGCAGGTGACTCGATGGCATATAACAATAACAACAACGACAATTCTTTACCAACCTGGGAGCTCTAATGACCTAGTGGTAAGATGTTGTGCTGCGAACCCTAAGGAAGGTAGTTCAAATCCAGAAGCTTTTATGGGAAATCTCCTCCCCGAGTGATAGACGTGATGACTCTGAAAACCTGCTGACAGGTTAGCTATGTGTCAGTTCTGACGTGGCAGCAAACAATAGGACAGATGTCATATGTCAAGAAGAATTGATGCCTTAAAGAGCTTTGATTTCGGAGAAGGGTGTACTGAATATCTCATGGACTGCCAAAAGAAGAAACAAGTTGGAGAGAGTGTAACCATAGAGCTCCTTGTAGGCAAAGATGGAAAACTTCGTCTCACCTACTTGAGGCATGTTGCTAGGAGAGGCTAGTCCTTGGAAAGGGACATCACACTTGGAAAAATAATGAGTCAACAAAAGAGAGGAAGACCCTCCGCTTGATGGGTGACATAGTAACTGCAGCACTGGACTCCAGTGTGTCAGAGAGGATGAGGATGGCACAGGACAGGACAGGCTTCTGTTGTTATGAGGAGTAATGATGCTTTAGTTGATGTAATGTAATAATTGATCATGATTCAACAGCACTTAACGACAATAACAACGTCATGCAGTATGTGCTAGAACAGGGAACTCGCTTTATTTACCCTCTCTGTTCACTTACTAATACTGCTGGATTCAGTGACTAGGTCATTATGTGAAAATTGGTATTGAGCAAAAGTGGAAAATTATTATATTAGTGCACAAAATAGATGACTGGCACACCACTGAGAATCCTGGCCCAGCCTAATTGACATATACTATCGCTGGTAGAATCACTCTCATGTCGCACCTTGATGTTTGCTGCTGACAGGGAAATGTCATTAATGGGCAAGACAGTTGGACAGTTGTTGTTCTTAGGTGCCATCGAGTCGAGTATGACTCAGCAACCTTATGAACAGCAGATCTGAACCCTGTCTTATCCCGTGCCATCCTCACCAATCTTTGACACACTTGAGCCGATTGCAGCAATCACATCACTGTGTCAGTCCACTTAGCTGAGGGTCTTCCTCTCCTTCACCGATCCTCTACCCTTCCACGCATCATGTCCCGCTCCAAGGAATAGTTCCTCCTAGCAACATGCCTGAAGGATTTGAGGCGAAGCCTCTTCATCCTTGTCTTCAAAGAGTACTCCAGCTGCACCATCTCCAAGACTTATCTGTTCATTCTCTTGGCCATATACGGCATGTTCAGTGCTCTTCTCCAACAGCTCAAAGGCCTCAATTCTTTTTCTGTCATCCCTATTCAGTGTCTAGCTCTTGGATGCATAGTTAGTAATCGGAAGGATTGTGGCCTGAATCAGATGCACCCTAGTCTTCAAAATGACAGCATTACTCTACAATAATTTGGAGAAGTCCCTGACTGCAGGCTTTCCTAGTTAAATACGCCTCCTGATTTCCTGACTGCTCAATGATAGATTTTGTGGTACTGCTCTAAATGTGAAATATCAAGTAAGAAGAGAGTTGATAAGTAAGGAATGTATGTCCTAGAATGAGGATTTTTCAGAACCTTTCCATGTCTTGACAGGAGTTATGTCTTGACAGTCATGGTGCTTGTCTTAGTGTGAGGTTAAAATTTTCCTGCTTTGAGTAGATGCAAAACATTGTCACAGTTCATTACTTTTGGTAGATTTCATGTATTATTTTAGTTTTAAAGATGGATAGATAATGGTATCTTAGCAATGGAGGCGGTGTATTTTTACTTGATTTCTCATCATGGGTACAGTTGTGCCACTGATGATCCAAGAGATGTGATGAAAACTGACTCAGTCTTTTTTTTTTTTTTTTACCAGGTGACCAGACTCTGCGAATTTGGGACGCGAAGGCAGCAGGAGCCAGAGTTGTGATTCCAGCACATCATACAGAAATTCTGAGTTGTGACTGGTGTAAATATAGTGAGGTATGGTGGGTGGTGCTGGCATTAGCGGCTGAGTTCTTCCTCAAGTACTAATGTCTTGGATTGGATTTTATCTCTGGTGTTCTGCACTTTACTGGTGTTCATGGATGATTAAATTAATTTCAGTTCCTTTTATTTCTAATTGATGATTGTCAATGACCTGCATTAACATTAATTGGATTTAAGTGCACATGAAACAGGCAGAGTAAGAAACAAATTTGCAAAGTTCAAAGGGAGCAGCCTTACTTGTTTGTTTTGGAATTCTGTTTTACAATTTGTAATTTTCTTTTCCCTATCCTAGCCCTGCCAATTTGTATCAACTTTTGCTTTCATTTATTTTCACTTTGTGAGTCAGGCTACTCAACTATTTGCAACTTGATTCCTAATTTGACAGTCCATTAGTTCTGTAAAATTTTCCATTTCATCTTTGACTATAAGTCTAACTAAGGTTCATGATTCTAAGGTGGCAGTGTCCATTTGTAACTTTTTTGCAGAGCTTCAGTTAATTACATGAGTAAATGAATTAGAAGTAGATACAGATTTAAAAATGTTGACATACAATTTATGTACCTGAAGTGATCTGTTGACTATAACAAAAAAAGTTAAAATTTATTATCTTTCCAAGTTTTAAATTAGTTAATAAAAGTATAGAGAACATTGCCCTGGCAGAGCTCTTTAAGTAAAATGAAATAAAAGAAATTAAATGCAAACATAGTACATATTTAATAATAATAATAATAATAATAATAATCTGAATTATAATTTCAGTGTTAGTGGGTGCATTTCAAATCCGTCTCATCATAAATGAATTTTCCACATAGGAAATTAGATTATAGACTTTATGTTACACTTCTGAGTATTCTAAAATTGATGTTGATATATATACTTGAAAGTGACGTAAACTTTTATCATTGAAACTTTAAAAAATGTAGTCATTTAGAGTTTTTATGTGAATTTATATTTAAGTCTAGCATATTCAGACAGTGAGCAGCTCTTACGGTCTGAGTGTGGACCACCTTTTGGCCCCATCAGCCTGAAGCTCTGGGTACGCCTGGGATCCTAGAAAGCAGAATTTGTAAAACTTGACTACATAGAATTCACCATAATTTAGATATAAATTCTCAGATAAGTTAGATGTTGCATTGTATCTCTCAGTCCATGAGAGTAGAAAGAATGGTTGATTTAGAATTAGAAAAACGTTCCACAATTCAGAGGTAAGGTCCATAGAGAGCTGCTTTGCTAATGCAAAGGATGTACCTCCCTGGTGGTTCAAATCCTCGGGTGTGAGTGTCAGTTCCAAATTGATGCCAATGAGAAGAGTTTTTATATGACTTCTTACCCCTCTTTCAAATATTTCTAAATTAATGTGCCTGTCTCCTGATAAAACCTTGCAGCATATTGGGACTTTTTTAAAAGAAAAATGAGTTCATTAAAAATAAAAAGTACATTCACACAGTAGAATACTATGCAGCAGGCAGGAGCAATGATTTTGAAAATACTATGTAACATGGGAGAGGTTGGAGAACATTACGCTGAATGAACTAACTCAAACTCATTAGGACGAATACTACGTAAGATGGTTGTTATAAAAATAGAAGGGTACCTGGTAAGATGTGTACCAAAATCCAAAGGGGAAGGGGAAGCAGGGAAGCAGGAGGGTGAGAAGGGGGGAAATACCGTGGCTGTAGAGTTTGATGGACAGAGCGACAGGGTGAAGGGATTAGGAAAGATCCAGAGGGGACCTGAAAAGGTGGGGTGATGGTAGGCATGGATCAATGGTGTTTACCTTTATAACACACAATGTGTGGAAATGATCATGTGAAACACAGTATGAATGGAGGAATGCATGATACACAATGTATATATGACTTTTGTATGCAAACCAGTTATCAAAAATAAAAACCACATCCCGTGAGTCAATTTTAACTCTTAGCACTCTTTAGGACAGGGTAGAATTATCACCACTCCCTTCCAACCACTCACCCCTGCCCCACTCCGTAGGGTTTCCCAAGGCTGTAAATCTCTACAGAATCATGCTGCCATATTTTTCTCTATAGACTGGTTGGCAGTGTTGGACTGCTAGACTTTTTGGTTAGCATTTGAGCACTAGAACCAATATACCACCTTAATAAGATCTTGGAAGCTTAAATGGGTATATTTTTTAATGCTTTAAATACTTAATACTTTAAAAGGTGTACTGGAGAATCCACTGCACTGTTACTACTTTTTCTGTTTTATGGCAATACATATATTCACTCACTCATTGCTGTCAGTTGGAACTGATTGATAGCTCACCCTACAGGTTTTCAAGAGGCTGTGGTCACAGGGGAGGGTATTGTCCATCTTTTTTCTGTATTGCTGATGGTGGTGCATTTGAACTGCCAGAGAGCTGCTACCTTTGGGTTCGCAGCTCAACTCCCCATGGACTGTTCCACTCAAGCTCCCTAAAATGCCTGCAAGGGCTGCACCCAGTTTTCCCTGCAGAGCACCAGCCAGAGGCCAGTTGCCAGCTTGATTCAGGACAGGCATTTTTATTCCTTTATATCCTCATTACACAACTTCTCCAGAATAACCCTTGTGTTCATATTAAGTAGCTAGTAGGAAAATTTAGGTTTTGTTTACTTGCAAAGATGTCTTCTCTTTGACATTTTTTTTTCTTTCTTCAGAATTTGCTGGTGACAGGGGCAGTTGATTGTAGTTTAAGAGGCTGGGATTTGAGAAATGTTCACCAACCAGTGTTTGAACTTCTTGGACACACCTATGCCATTAGGCGGGTCAAAGTAGGTCTTTATCTATTCTTATACAGAGTATAATTTTAAATAAGGAGATGTTTAATGAGTCATATAGAAGACAGTTTAGTGTTTCTGGATTGGGCATTGATGATTCTTTTATGCCTGTTTTTGTTAGTTAACTCATATATTGAGACTTACAGTTAGGTAAAATAGTTGAATAATTATTAACTGAATTGGGACAACATAGACAGTAGTTGGAATTAGATAAAAACATTTCTCTTATTCTGTTATCCCTGGTGTACTCTTACATTTAATATTATATTTTTAGCTGTAATAATTTACTTCTTAATTTAGAAATTGCATTATTTTCCATCCTGAGGGAAAGTGTTTGTTGAGAAGTATTGAGAAATGGTTAACTTTTTATCCTTTCTTCCTTGATATGGTGAAAAGTTTTGGAACTATTCCCAAGAAATTTGCCTGGTTATAAGGTTATTTTTCCTCAGTTTATGTTTAGGCAGTTTCTGGATTATCACTATGAAAGACATCTTACTAAGTTACATCTCCAATTTATATTATTTGTCTCTCTCATTAAGGGTAACAGTAAGTTAGTGACCTTTTACAATTATACGTTATACCAACTTTTAGAATTGTAAATTTATATTTTAAATTTTACATCATATAAGACACAGTGCCCTCCTTTTTTGTTTTTTCTTTTTATGGTGGTCTTAAAGTAAATGCATTCTAATAGTCTACAAATACCTTCTCTGTATATTTAAAAATGAGTAGAGTTATAGAGTAAAAAGTACTTTACAAACTGTCAAATGATCTATAAATGCCTCTATTTATGTATATGTAACATTTAATGTGCTGATAAGAAAAACACTATAATTGTAAAGGTCAGTCTATAAAAGTGTGTTTATTGTTTATTTAAAAGACATTAAACTTATCTCCATGGGCCAGTTCTAACTCGTAACTGCAGGACAGGGTAGTATTGCTTCACAGTGTTCCCAAGGCTCTACAACTTTACAGAAACATCCTCACAGAATTATCTACAACCTTGCTTGCAGAAAATGAGTACTGCTTAAAGCATTTAACTCAAAGCCTTAAATATGGATTACATGTCAACATAAAACAAAAATCCTCCCAATTAGACCACTAAACAACATAGTCATAAATGGATAAATGGTTGCAGTGAAGATTTTCTTTTTCATTCAATTCACAATCAACACCCATGGAAGCAATTGCCAGAAAGTCAAGTGTATTGCCCTGGGAGCATCTGCTGCTGGGGGCTTCCTTAAAGTGCTGAAGAGCAAAGACGCTGCCTCTCAGGACTAAGAGGCACTTGACCCAATTCCTGGTATTTTCAGTTTCCTCATGCAGGTATTGACAAAATACCAGTTGATGTGTTTCAACAATCAGATGCAGACCTAGATGTGCTTACTAGTCTATGCCAAGAAATGTAGAAAGCAGCTACCTGGCCAAGCACTGAAAGAGAGCTGTATTTGTTTCCATTTCCAAAAAAGATGATCCAGCAGAATGTGGAAATTATTAAACAATGTCATTAATATCTCATGCATGTAAAACTTTGCTGAAGGTTATTTAGATATGGCTAGAGCAGTACATAGGCAGGAAAATGCCAGAAATTCAAGCTGGATTCAGAAGAGACTTTTGCTTAAGAGATATCATTGCTGAAGTCAAATGGATCTGGATTGAAAGCAGAGAATATCAGAAGGATGTTTATATGTGTTTTATTAACTGTGCAAAAGCATTTGACTGCGTGGATCATAAGATGTTATGGATAACATTAAGAGGAAGATTCCCAGAATACTTAATTGTGTTTCTACAAAACACACCAAGAAAGCAGTTGCCCAAACAGAACAGAAAATACTGCATGGTTTAAAACCAGGAAATATGTGTGTAGGGAAAGGATATGATCACATATCCTTTCTCCATACCTATTCAATCTGTATTCAAGAAACAAGACTATATGAAGAACAGTGTGGCATCCAGATTGGAGAGAGACTCATCAACAACTTGTGTTATGCAGACAACACAACTTTGCTTGTAGAAAGTGAGGAGGACTTGAAGCACATGCTGCAGAAGATCAAAGAGTACAGCCTTCAATATGGATTCCATCTTAACGTCAAGAAAACAGAAATCCTCTCCACTGGACCAATATGCAACATCAAAACAGATGGAGAAAAGATTGAAGTTAAAACAATTTCATTGTACTTGAATCCACAGTCAGCATCCATGGTAACAGCAATCCAGAAATTAAAAGATGTGTTGCTTTGGGAAAATCTGCTATTAAGAATATCTCCAAAGTGCTAAAGTGCAGTGATACCATTTTGATGACTAAGGTGCACCTGATTGAAGCCTTGGTATTTTCATTTGCTCCTGTGCATCTAAAAGTTGAATAACGAATGACGATGAAGAAAAACCTATGTCTTAAATAATGGTGTTGGAAAAGAGAACTGAGTCAACTGCTAAAAGAACAAATAAGGAAAAAAAAACCCAAACAAACAGAGGAAGTGCAGCCAGGGTGCTTCTTAGAAGCAAGGATGGTGAAACTTCAGTTCATATACTTTGGCATGTTATCAGGAGGGACCAGTCCTTGGAAATAGGTATCACACTGGAGAGGGTGGAGGGGCAGTAGAGGGAGGAAGACCCTCAACAAGATGGATTGGCACAGTGACTGTAGCTGTGGCCTTGCGCATCTCAGAGATTGTTAGCACAGTGCTGGATAAGGCAAGCTTTGGATCTTTTCTTCTTAGGGTCACTAAGAGTTGTGGTTGACTTGATGGCACCTTTCAACAACTTATATGCATATATAGTGGGATAGGGAATAAAGAAGACTGAGGAAGAATCAATGCCTTTAAATTGTGGCATTGGTGAAGAATATTGAATACACCATGGAGTTCCAAAACCCAAATCTGTCTGGGAAGAAGTGTGACCTTAGAAAAGAAGATGATAGTAAGACTTGGTTTCATACACCTTCAGCATGTTTTTAGGAAGGATCTGTCTCTGGTGAAAGACTTCATGCTTGGAAAAAGAGAACAACCCTGGAGGAGATGAATTGATACAGTGACTGTAACAATTAACTCAGACACAGCAGTGATTGTGAGGATCGTAGAGAATCACAAGATCTTTTGTTTTGTTTTCTTTTGTTTCTCTGTGTTAGAGCTGACTTGAGGGCACATAGTGATGAAAGCAAGTTCTAGCAGTCACACAATTGGTAAAATATGTAATTATGTATTTGTACCATCCCATATGTTAGTCCTTTGTATTTAGGAATCTTTTTGAACAACCAGTATGAAATTCTATTTAATTTTTCCAGAAAGAAATATTTAGGGATATTTAAGCTTTTAAAAACTTATTTAAAAGATGGTTTTCTTTGGGTAGAATGATTTTTTTCCCTTGAATTAAAGCAATGTAATGCTCAAGAAAGTATAATTAATTGCCATTTTGTAATTACAAGTAATTTAAAAAACTTGTCTCTTTTTTATAGTTTTCGCCATTCCATGCTTCTGTGTTAGCCTCTTGCTCCTATGATTTTACTGTAAGGTAAGTTGCATTATGAAATACCAAGTAGAATTTTCATCTGTGCAACTTTTATGAAAGATAGTATGCTTATTTTACTAATATAAAAATAACCTGGACTCAGCACATTTAAATATTTGCCACTGGGATTAATGTTAAATTTTCCCCGTTTCCATGATCCAGTCACATGTAAAAGCTAATTCTTTACTATTTAAATGTTAGCCAGGCATCCTTAGTGTTTGGAAAAAAGCCAGTTTGTTCCTATAGTAACATTTTCTCACTCTACAAAATACATAGATCAGCATCTTTTAAATCTTTTAAATTTGGAAATTTTTTGTCTTCATATATAATTGTATGATTTTTTTAGGTTAAGTTGGTTACAGATGAAAAAAAGCGATTGTCATGAATATATACGTGGTTAGAGGGTTGCTTTTTTTTACGGGAGATGTGTGTATGTATGTGTATCTAGGAGCCTTTATAGTGCAATAATTAAAGCACTGAAAAGTTGACTGTTTAAATCCATTCACTCTGTGGGAGAAAGATGTAGCAGTCTGCTTTTCTTTGTTTTTTATTATTAAATTTTATTAGTTTTAATGAACATTTACAGAGATTTTGGGTTTTCATTCATTCATTGTTGCACTGTTTTCTCCACCCTCCTCCCCAGTTCGTTCTTCTTCCCCCCCCCATGTCTGTTTTAGTTGTCCAATTGCCACAGTGCTTGTCAAAGCCAGTTCTGATTTAATTTCCTTTGTCAGTGTGTCCTTTGCCATTCCCTATCACTCCTCCCTGAGAGAGACTTCACCCTGATTCATAAGGAAAAGGGGATGGCGTATTCTCTTAGCTACTGCCTGCTGAAAAGGGAGTCTGCTTTTCTAACGATTGCATCTATGGGACACCCTGTCCCGTTGGATTGCTATGAATTGGAACCAACTCCGTGGTAATGGATTGTAGTGGATAGTGTGGTTATCAATCCATATCTCTAATTCATTCTAAATTTTTCTCCCTTTTCCAAATTAATAATTCCTGAGTCCTACAAGCCAACATGTATTTACTTACTTGGTGAACCCTGGATGCCAGTAATTTCTGGCTGTTAAATATGACCAGAGAATTCAGTTTGCAGTCTTCTTTAGAGTCTTTTTGAGGGTGGGTGGGGACCTAATAGATGGTGAATTTTTATGGATATTAATGTACAATTGAGGTAGATGTATCTTCTCCTTCACGAGGGTGTGTTTGTTGTGTACCATTGAGTCAGAACCCTCCAGCAGGTTTTCAGAGGTAGTAAATCACACGGGAGGAGACTGCCCTCTAGAGTTTCCCAGCCTGTGAATCTTTACAGAAACAGCCATACACATTTTAATCCCACAGAGCAACTAGGGGGTTCAAACCACCAGCCCTTTTCGTGGTAGCTAAATGCTTAACCATTACACTATCAGGCCATCTTTGTATCAATATCGAAACCAAACTTACAGCTGTTGAGTAAATTCTGGCTCAAAATCTATTCTTGGAAAGACTACCAATCTTTCTTCCCAGGAGAAGCTGGTGGATTCAAACTGCCTACCTTTCTTTCAGTTAGCAGCCTGGCACGTCATACTCTGCAACCTGGGCTCCTCTCTGTCACTGTGATGTTCTGTACCATTGAGTCAGAACTGACATAGCTGACCCTCCCATGGGTCTTCAGAGGCAGTTAATCACATAGGAGAGGACTGCCATCGTTTCCTTTGGAGCAGCTGGTAAATTTGAAACATGTTCTTTTGAATTTGCAGTTTAGTTCCTTACTGTGGCCTGTTGTTGTTGATTGCCTTCACGTCGAGCACAACTCCTAGTGACCCTATGAACAAAAGGCCCGAAGCCCCTCTACAACTTTCGACATTTATCAAAGTTTATAGAGTTTCCGGAGGCATGTTATTTCGGAAGTGGATGCCACTTCTGCTTCTAAACCTGTCATAGAATGTTAGTGGTTGAGTCACCTGCGATGCATAGCCGTGCTATGTATAGCAGCTCTGAACCTCACTAATTCTGACACAACAGCCCCTATTGTCCCAGATATTTTATCAATCCATCCTTATTGCAAATAATGCAGCAGAAACAAGGGTGTGCAGTATCTGTTTGGATGGTGGTTTTGGTTTCTTTAGAGTATATTCCTAGTAGTTGAATTGCTGAGTCAAATGATATTTCTATTTCCAACTTTTTGAGAAAGTACCAAACCGCCTTCCATAGTGGTTGCACCAGCATGAATCATGGTTCCAATCTCTCTACAATCTTTCTCCTATGAAGCTGTTGATGAGTTAGAACTGCCCACCCTTTGATTATCATGTAAGTGCTTTAATCACAGTGCCACGAGGGCTCCTTTCCTATAAAATAGCCAAACTTTCTCTTCATACAAATTAGAATAATATAGCTCAAACCAAATTACTTTATGGGCCCATGTAGGTAAATAGCATTTCCCCCATCAATAGAATTTTAATTGTAACATGTATCATAGATACAGAGCTACTTTTGCTTCTAATTTAAATATAACTCAAGGTTATTAATTGTGCATTTCAGTATAGAACTGTGAAAGTCTCACTTAATAAAGAGAAAAAGAATAGAAAAATAGAATTATTGTAAAAGGCTTTGTGTATAAGGCATATGTATCTGTAAAGAGTTGCAAATAAAAATACCTATGGATATTCATAACTCTTTCTCACCATTTTATAAAGTGTAGAGAAGACTTGAACAATACTGGGAATGCCTATCTAAGTCAACATCTGTCCATGGTAATTGGAGAAGTTGGCAAAGGGTGCCTTTTGGGTAGACTTTTTACCTCATGTGATATTGAGTTTAATTAAATTTATCCCCTAAAGAATTTTAAATCTGATTGGATTGATGATATTTTTAGCACCAGAAAAATAAATAGATAAGAAATGTGGTTGAATGTGAGCTCCTCTGTAGCGCAGATGGTCCTTTTACCTCATCTTTTCTGACTGGTATTTTTTAAGTCCTGTGCCATACTACATGCAGTTCAGGCTCTCTGGAACAGCTGTCTCTGTTTGCAGCAATTTAATCATCCTAAATGACTATTTCTCTCTCCTCTTCCTCCTCTCTCCCCCTTAGCCCTCCACTCCTAGCTCATATCATCTTCCTAGAAGAGTTTCCTCAACAACTGTTCCTAAATAGTTCTGTGAGACAAAGATGTGTCCATCTGTTTACATAAAGATTTAGAGCCGTGGTAGCTCCCTGAGACAGTTCTACCTACCCTGTCCTCTCCAGTGACCATGAATCAAACTCCATCCACTCAGTGGCATCGGGCAGTGTGGGAACTGTAGATTTTCGTGTATCACTTGTCTCCTGATAAAACATTTTTTTAACACATGTGGCAGTGACTACTATCAAGCTCTAGTCATTGAGGCGAGCGTTCCTGGTGTTAACACAATCCTCCCAGTTACTATAGCACCCTTCTGACATTTGGGAGTTCATGGGCCAAGACTAGCCATGATAAACTCTTAACCAAGAGATGAGGAAATACAAAAAGATAGGGGAAACTCAGTGATTTATCAATACATTTGTGTATTAAAATTGACTGTTAAAATACTTTTACTACTGGTTTTCAAGTAGGACACATTGATGGGCTACATTATATTAATAATGTTTCCAGGATTGCCAAGATCATATTACGCAGTCTAATTTGTATGGGTCCAAATACAATAAAACAGCAATTGCTTTCCTCAGGAAAGTCCGTTTTTAAAAATCCTACAAGACTTTGATTTCAGATTCTCTTTTATAAATTACCTCTTCCAACCTAAAGTGAAAAACTATCCTTAAATATAATTGTAGACTTTTATTATCAAAAGAACGAAGAAGTATCAACATTTTTTATAAAATTTAAATTTGTGAACTGGAACCATGGACAAACTATTCTGAGTTTGGATACATATAGATCATAACTAGGTGATATCTTCTACTTCTGTTTAACCAACTTTAATATTTTATATATGTATTAATCAAAATGATACTTCTTAAAGAGACAGTGGATTTATGTAAAGAGATAATAGTCTAGAGACCAGGCTTTATAATTGCTAATTTTTGTTACTTTTCTAGTTGCTTATTTTTAAAAAATAAAGCAATTTTACTACCCTAAGCCTTTTTCCTCAGTCATAAAATGTCCTGTCATGAGGAGATACACCTCCCTCATATTAGGATGTACCTTTTAGCTTTATTTCCCTTTTTCACTCCCTTAGATATTTTTCAGACTCTGATTTTTATCATATTCTACAATTAAACTCATAATTCTAATTAGAATTATTTAAAACCAGCAAAACTACAAAAATAGTGCCTGCAATTTATTTTTAAATGGTTCAACAAAAATAGTATCATATGTGTTAATGTGCAAAGAGAAAGATAAGGTAAATGTGGGGGGAAAAATGGAACAGTTGGTGAACCTAGAGGAGTGAAATAGAAGAAATCAGTAGTAGTCTGAATTTTTCTGTGGGTTTCAAATGTTCAAAATAGAAAAGTAAAATATGATTTCCTATCTGTATTTAAAAAAGACACCAAAACCATTACTTACTGTTACCTTTTAATAATGTGATAAAGAGCTTTGTTGGCATAGTGTGTTATATGTTAGGCTGCTAATCAAGAGGTCGGTAGTTCAAATCTACCACTGCACGTAGAAAGATGGACAATTTTCTCCCTTCAAGTTTTACAGCCTCCATGAATTAGAATTGACTCAATAATGATAATGTGATATTTAATAAAATTAATTATAAAATAAGACAGATAGCTTTTTATATATTACATAAATAGGAAATCCACAGAGATCTTTCATTACTTGAAAGAAACTTAGAACGGACTAGAAGAGATCATAATTTGTTCTCATTCCCAAGAAAGGTGACCCACAGAATTTGGAAATTAGCATACAATATCATTACTAACACAGGGAAACAAAATACTGATGAGGATTGTCCAAAAATGGCTACAAGCATATATTGACAGGGAACTCCCAGTTCAGGCTGGGTTTAGAAGAGACTGTGGGACCAGGATTATCA